TGGTGCAGTAGAAACTGGCGTTTGCCTGGATGATGATGGATAACTGGGTACTGAATGAGTTTGAGATCTTTCTGACTGGACATAATTCGTAATAAGTCACTCAATGTCTTAAAGTCCTGCATCCTGGCTTGAGATTGTAATGTTTCATTGAAAAATACATCAATCATGTATTCAATTAAATCTTCTTCGGAAAGTCCCACAATGTTGCCCAAAGCCACTTTCTCGTGGAAGTAAATCGGGAATTTCTCGCCTCTTTTCCATTTACGGGATTCAAATTTTTTCATTGAAGAGACTCTGTCTGCTCTAAATGAAAACATTTTCTTCATTTCTTCTTTGAGATCAGTCCAAGTCATTGTAATAAATTCAACTTTTGAATGATACCAGGTCCTTGCTTGGCCAGTCAATTGACCAACAGCAATTAATTGAATTGTTTTGTCCCGAACTTGGTAACAGTCCTGTACTGCAGCTACTCTTTGTAACCAAACTGCAACATCTCCTTGGCCAGTAAAATCAGGAAGTAAAGCACTTATTTCGGCGTTTGAAAATGATTTATTTTCATGGTGTCTAATGGGCGGTGAGATAGGTCTTCGAGCCTGTTCATGCAATAAAATTGCTCTTACCGTTGCTTCAACCAAATCATTCACTGAAATTGGACTCTGGCTTCTGTTTTCTTGAGCCGATTCACTCATTTCGGCGTCGGCGGTAAAACGCTTTAGTGCAACACGTAGTTTCTTATAAGATGCATTCCTAATGTTGTAGTTAGCCTTTTTGGACCGATTTCAATATAAAAATATGCGGATTATATTAGTTTTGAAGAAAAATCTATAAATTAAAGTGGTTCAATTTAAAGGTGTTAGTTTGGGTTAGTTTGCATAGGACTAGTACGCATTACGTGGACAGGTTAGCTTGGGTTAGTTTGCATATTTTTGGTTAGTTTTGGTTACAGTTCGTATCTACTGGTTATAAGTGTACTGATTGAGAACACAGCGCGCGAAGCGGGCTTTGTTTTTTAAATTGGTATGATTAGGGCTCTCGGGAACAGGGTAGAACGCATACTCCGATTGAGTTCATTTTTGGTATACATATAAAGGACGCTGAAAGAAATTTTTCCAAGAAAAAATTGACCTTAGCTGCGACCTTGACCGTGACCTTGACCAGTGAAATTCACATAAATATCAATTTATCGTGCTGAAATTATGTATAGCGCCGAAGAGCATCATAAATAACCCATACGCCGAGTTTTAGCCTTCAAGGTCATACATTCAGAGATACGGCAACCCCGCATTCTCAGTTTGGGCTCTCGGGAATGGGCTAGAAGGCGTAGTCCAATCGAGTTCATTTTTGGTATACATATAAAGGCCGCTGAAAGAAATTTCCCCAAAAAAAATTGACCTGGGCCGTTGGACGTGAACTTGACCGTGACCTTGACCAGTGAAATTCAGGTAAATATCTATTTATCGTGATGAAATTATGTACAGGGTGGGCCAATTTGGACACAATAGGAAACATCATGATATTGAATATTAATTACTTATCTAAAACTGGATACAGTGTACTGATTAACAACGACAACCAAGCGCGACAAGCTAGATAAAATAAAAATGTTCAAGGATACTAGCATGCATTTCAAGAATGGGTTAAGTTGGGTTGTTTTGCATTATTTTGTAATTCTCGATTAGATAGGTTTACGGGGACTAGCACGCAGTACAAAGACGGGTAAGTTCGGGTTAGTTTGCATATTTTTGATCAGTTTCGATATAGCACAGTTATTGTCGGTTAAAGTGTACCAATTTCAAAAGTTCAGTAGATATTATACGCTTTATCATTACTCAATAATGTTTTTTTCAAAAAATGGTTTGAACACTTAGCTCTTCCCTTCATTCGAATATCTACCACATGATGCTTTTTACGTTTATTAAATTTTTATCTGCTAAACAGAGCGATTGTGATATTAAGCTGATAAGAATAGATATTATACATTGATCTGTGTCAAAGGTCGAGAAGAGGATTCATTCAATATTTATAAAATCCAATTTATAGTTATTTGCGCCAACATTTTCGATCATAAAACAATATTTTGGGATCAAACTAAACTATCTATAATGAAGAAGCATGATATTTTTTTTGAAGGACCTTTACTGAACTGTTACCTTTTACGGCCTAAATATGTATACCAAAAATGAACTCAATTGGACTACGCCTTCTACCCTGTTCCCGAGAGCCCAAACTGAAAATGCAGAGTTGTCGTATCTCTGAATGTGTATGACCTTGAAGGCTAAAACTCGGTATATAGGTTACTTGAGATGCCTTTCAACACTATACAAGTTTTCAGCACGTTAAACTGCCATTTACGTGAATTTGATGGTCAAGGTCAGGATCAAGGTCAAATTTTTTTTGGAAAAATTTCTTTTGACGTCCTATATATGTGTACCAAAAATGAATTTGATCAGAAAACGCCTTATAGCCCGTTCCCGAGAGCCCAAAAATTACCTTTTAATTCAATATCAACATACAAGGACTCGCACGCATTACGTGGACGGATTAGTTTGGGTTAGTTTGCATACTTTTGGTTAGTTTGAGTTACAGTTCGTTCAATATCTACTGGTTATAATATCTACTGGTTTAATATCTACTGGTTATGTGTAAGTGATTGTGAATGTGAATATTCGCTTACTACGGCAAAAAACGTCAATATCCGCACTTAAATTGATACAAAACCAACTGTATAAAGGATATAACAACTAATTTTTATAGAAAATTTGTTAATTTTTGTTGCACTAAAGCGTTTTACACCCTCGGCGTCTTCAAATTGGTCGTCCGCCATAATACATCACTACTTTCGCAATATCCTATGGCTTGAATCCTGAATCCCACTTCTGAAAACTGTAGACCGTAGATTTCTTCGAAATGCGACTGTTGAGTCCGGGTTTCCCAATCAAATAAGGCACGTAACGGTTTTTACTGTTTTATTGAAGTCCTCGTTAATTCAACTATAACGACACCCCAGCGCAGCCTGCAGAAGGAAGATGAAACGGGAAGTTTTTTACCTATTTCAAAAGTGATCTATCATCTTCTGTCTACCGACATAACTGGTTTTCTAGTCATCAGGTACTCTAATTATTTTGAAGATCGGGTTTACAATAATTACAAAATATAGCGCTGGGTAAATTCAAATAACTAGAAATAATTACTACATAATGACGACTATATCATCCGCGTAGCCTAGGGTGATGTAGCCCTGATCGTTTAGTTTCCTCAGAAGTTCATTCATGACTAGATTCCTCAAGAGTAGTGAAATTACTCCGCCCTGTGGGAATGCTTTTGTTGCGGTTATTTTAATAGAGGTTTCAGCAATAGTGGAGTTTATAGTCCTGTGTTTTAGCATGGACTTGATCCAGCCGCATGTAGTATAATCATTAATCGTATGTTGCCCAGCAGCTCTGACTATACAATCACTTACAAAAAGTTATTTTTTGAAGGCACCCGAAAAGCGCCTGTCTGCGGCGAGGCTTCATCATTATGAAACCCCCCCCCCCCCAAATGAAAAACCTGGGTGCGCCACTGGCTTACCCCATTCGTTTGGAGGAAAAATAGCGTGTTGCATACGGAGTAGAAGCACTTTTTTGTGCTTCAGTACTTCTATTCCTAATACAACAATATACTATTTCCGACGGAAAAGTTTTTTTTTTTTTTCACGCCAACCGAAAAATACCCAAAATAACAGGGTTTACTCAACAGCCGCAAAAAAGCGAGAGGTTCCATTGGATAAACTTTTAATTCCAAGGGCACATTTTGCAGAGTCGGTCATGGTATCTTTGGCTGTTTCTAAATTAGGAAAAACAAGTGTTATATTTATTGCTAAAAATGTTAAGATAAATTCCGAAGTCTACCAATAGCATGTGCTTGCAAATTTGCTTTACGAAATTGGAAATATAACTGCTAATTACTGCTTTCAACAAGACGGTGCCTCCTCTCATACTTCTCGCAGCACAATAAGATGTTTACAAGAAAATTGCCCGGAAATTATCGAGCCTGATTTGTGGCCACCTAACAGCCCTGACTTAAACCCCGTTGATTACTGCATATGGAGAATTCTGGAATCCATATGGTTTATACGAATTACAATATTACAACAATCGAAGAGTAAAAAAATCGGATCATTCATTGCTGGGTGAGATTTAGTCAACGCATTATAGACAATTCTATTAACCAATGGAGAAGTCGCTTACAGACCGTAGTCAATAATGAAGGGGGTTTCATCCATAATCAATTTCTATAAAACATATTGGACTTTTTTTGTTTGTTATTGTTTACAGTTACCAATTGTCTTGTTTTATAATTCCTAGTGTTATTAATGTCATAATAAACATTTATCTGAGTATTTTGTTTTAAAGATCAATGAAAAATGCCTATTCACAAAACAATCTCCAATATTAATTGAGTATTTATTAGTTAATGCCGACAAGGAAGACAAGCATCGTCCAATAAAAAAAATCTTCATTCCTGTGGTTTTGGTTTTAAAATATTGTTGATTGCAGGAATGGTTTTCCCATTAATGTCATTAAAAAAATATTTGTTGATTTGTAAGTAGCGCAATTCGTTTTTGCAACGAGCTCAAATGCACTAATTCAATGAAATCGTCGTAAGTCCGGTCCTGACCAGAATTATTTTTTAGGTGATAACAAAAACATAGGTATTGATTAATAAATATCATATCAAAAAATCATTGAAATCCATGAACAAACAAAAAAATTAATAATGTTCCAAGTTAATTTGGCCCACAGTGTATAGCCAATGTTATCACGAATTTGCTACTATTTAATTATATTCAGATATGCAAAAGCAGGTTTGAATTTTTCATTCCAATATCAGTCCCCAAAAGGAACCAAAACGACAGTAAGTGTCTAGACAAACAAGCAAATCAACCAAAGCTGAATTTGCTTTAAAAAAAAAAATCTAGTGAACGAAAACACTAAAAAAATAAGCAATCATTTTCTCACCACATCTTCAGCTAATCCACCTCTCGCAGTAGGATACTCCCAATCGAAATCGAATCCATCAAAATCGTTATCCTGAACATACTTCAATACACTCTTAATAAAATTGCTTCTCAATGTTGCATTGGCAGCAACAATGGAATAGTTTTTTGATCCTTCGTTCCAACCGCCCATGGATGCCAGTACTTTAAGATTGGTATTATTTTGTTTCAGACCTATAACACCCTTGAGATTTCCTTAAAAAAATATTACAAGTGAAATTTTATTAACTCTTTTTTACTCTTACCACGAGCCACATCTGAAAAATCGTCCAGCACCCTCACTTCACCAGTGTCACCCCATAAACCTACAAAAGCGTAATTGATGATGGTACATAGGCTCGAATCGATGTCTGAAGTTTGAAAAAGGCCGATACCAGGTCTGTAGATGGCCCAGTTAGTAAAATAGCAGACTATTTCTTTTTTAGCTGGAAAAATAAAATTATGCTTTTCATGATATATAAATTAGGTAGGTTAACAAAACTTACTTGAGTTAACAAGCGCTATGGCTAGAACCAAAAATAAGAATATACCCTTCATTGTCGAGTGTTACTTTCTCATCTACTGATCTTTGATTTTAAGTGTTGGTATTTATAATTCCCAAAAACTGTTTAATTACAGTAAATTATTGAAAACTAGATAATTTTTATCAGCAGTACCTGCTCTTGAAATCACTTGTAAATATATTTGTTTAAATTGCCCCGTGAAAATATCACCTAATTTGTATAGTTATTAGGCGAAAATTAATACATATCTATTAATAAATATTTAAAAAATATTGTCACGGCTTTGGATTGCCGGACAGAAATCTTGGGTTCGTTTCGTTTATTCCAAAAATCAAAGTCCAATTAACACAGCAATAATTTATTCCACGTGACAATACACTCTGACACTAATTACTTTAATAACTACTCAATAATTAAACTCTTTACAACAATAATCACTATTTAAATCACATCACAGTCGATCTGAAACTGAAACTTACAAGCTAAAACCCGTCCTTATATATAGCCGTAATTTATTCCTGTACATTCCAGAAGAACCGCGATCGACCTTGTTCCCGACCATCAAAGTAAAATCTCGAATCTGCTATGCAATTCTGTACAGGATTCTTGATACACTGGCGGCCGTTGCACTGCCCTCCTCTTAAGGTTGATCGTCCCGATCAACTTCACGCCCATGATATTTCGTTAACCTGTCCAGATGAACAACTTTCATCTTACTCCTGGTGTTGCGCTGGACTCGAGAAACCAAATCATTGATCCTCTTGATTATTTTGTAGGGTCCGTCCAATGCTGAAGACAATTTCGGCGATACTCCTTTCTTTCTAGCTGAATTCTACAGCCACACCAAATCACGTTCTTGAAATCCAGCTGAATTGGCTTTCAGGTCATATCTGGTCTTTATCCGGTCACTGGCTAGTTGAATATGCTCTCGAGCAAAATCATGGATACCCAGAAGTCGTGCCCTTACTTCGTCGGCAGAGTCTCGAATTTCTTTCCGTTCTTCTTCAGGTATCCCAAACATCAGATCGCAAGGTAACCTGAGTTCTCTTCCAAAAACGATTCTGGCTGGACTTTCACCTGTTGACTCGTGAACAGCTGCTCTGTAAGCCATTAAAAATAGAGGCAAATGTTTGTCCCAATCTCGCTGGTTCCTTGCGACCACTTTTGTCAGGTGTTCCTCTATGGTCTTATTTAATCGTTCTACCATGCCATCAGACTGTGGATGTAAAGGTGTTGTCCTTGTCTTACGAATATCCATGATCTCACAAATTTTCCTAAAGATGGCAGATTCGAAGTTTCGTCCCTGGTCTGAATGTCACTCTAGTGGCACACCATGACGACTAAAAACTTCGTCCACTAGCACCTGGGCAATAGTGATGGCTTCTTGATTGGGAATAGCGAAAACTTCTGGCCATTTACTGAAGTAATCCATGATAACTAAGATGTATTTGTTACCACGCTCTGACTCTGGAAACAGTCCGGCTACATCTATCGCTATTCTTTCAAATGGAAGACCGACGTTGTACTGTTTCATGGAAGATCTTAGTTTAGGGCCTTTACTGGTAGCACAGATGTCGCATTTTCGGCACCAGCTGTTAACGTCTTCATGGTAGTGAACCCAGTAAAACGTTCCCAGATTTTGTCCAAAGTCTTGTTAACTCCGAAATGTGCCCCTGAAGTTCCGTCGTGTATTTCTTTTAATACATCTTCCACTGGTCTTTTGAGATAACCAGTTGGCTCTTAGTGGATTTCCCATCGGCACTTTCCCAAACTCTTTTGAGCAAACCATTTTCTACGGCCAGAGAGTTCCGCTGGGCCCACAACGCCTTGTAAATCAAGCTCTTGTTCGACACTTCCCTCCATTCTGGCCTACATTCATCATTTTCTTTAAGATGTAGAATTTCTCCGATGTCCAGGTCTGCCTCCTCATCTTCTCTCATTTGTTTAGTAGTCCATTTATTATCGACGATCAGGCCCGTTCCTCTTATAGCTGGATTAGTGTTTTTCTCATGTATATCGATTCTTTGACAGTGCTTGCAATCTTCATTACATGGCCGTCTAGACAGAGCGTCAGCATTTTCATGCAGGTTTCCAGGTCGATGTTTAATTTGGAAATCGTATTGCTGCAATTTCTCAATCCATCTAGCAAGCTGTCCTTTAGGAGTTTTCATTTCTAAAAGCCATTTTAGAGCTACGTGATCTGTTCGAATTAGAAACTTGCGTCCGTAGAGATACCTATGAAAATGGTCGACTGCTTTTACTATGGCAAGCAACTCTCTTCTGGTGACACAATAATTTCGTTCCGGCTTTGATAAGGTTCTGCTGTAGTACTCCACGACATGTTCTTGTGAATTTTGGATCTGTGAAAGGACAGCTCAAATACTGGTGCTACTTGCATCTGTGTCCAAAATCAACATGCCTTTCTGATCGGGATAGGACAACACTGGGCTCGTACATAATGCTCCTTTCAATTTTCTAAATGCGGAATCGCATTCTTGGGTCCAATTTAATGTTCTTTTTTTTTCCGTTAATCGATGAAGCGGAGCAGCTATATTGGCGAAACCTTCCACAAATCTTCGATAATAAGAACATAATCCCAGAAAATTCCTTAGTTCATGTTTGTCGCGTGGCTTTGGCCAATCCCTGACAGCATCTATCTTCCCTTCCATATTCAGATACCACGTGACATAAGAATTCCACTTTCTTTTGAAATAGGAAACACAAACGAATTTCCCATGATCATGACATCATCCAAATATACGAGGCAAGTACTCCATGTAAGGCCTCGCAAAACAAAATGCATCAGTCGCTCAAACGTAGCTGGAGCATTACAGAATCCGAAAGGATTAAACTGGTATAACCCGCTTCCGGTACTGAAGGCAGTTTTCTCTTTGTCATCGTCATGTATTGCCACTTGCCAGTATCCACTTTCGAGATCCAAGGTGGAAAACCATTTGGAGCCCGATAGAGTTGTTAATGTATCGTCTATTCTCGGGAGAGGGAAGCTGTCCTTCTTGGTGACGTCATTAAGCTTTCGGTAATCCACACAAAATCTAAGACTCTCATCTTTCTTTGTAACCAAAACTACTGGCGCAGACCATGGACTATTTGACTCTTCAATGATTCTCTCTTCAAGCATTTTATCAATTTGGTTTTCCACTTCCTGTTGCTTAGCAATTGGCATACGTTGTGGTGGTTGTCTAATTGGGTGTGCCAATCCAGTATCAATTTAGTGTTGAATTGAGCTGGTCCGTCCGGTTTGATTGTCTATCACAAATACGTCTGCTTCTTTCAAGATGAAATCTGTGGCTTTTTGAAGTCTATCTGAATCGAGATGTTTCCATGATTTCGCCAAGGTCTGCATCAAGGTGTCTGTATCTAATTTGGATTTCACAAAATGTCGCTTATCTGGTAGGTCACAGTTCGATATTTGCTTAACTGGTTCGAGAGTTCCAATAATGTCTCCTTCTTTTATTCTTACTGTTTCGGAAGAAACATTGGCAATTCTTATCATAATGTCTCCATTTGTTCTTACTAGAGTCTTTCCAGCAAAAAATCTTTCTGGTTTATCTCCAATAAAATTACATGTTAGTCCAACGCAGCACCCAGGGTTTGTTTCTAATTTTCCGCAAATGATCTTCTCAGTACTTCCAGGAATCCTCACTGGGGTTGTGGCCAGGATCTTAACGGCTTGGGATTCTTCTTGAGTTGTTAGGACAATTTCTTCATTACCAAATTTAAGGATGTTCATGGAAGGATCAAAAGAAAAACCATGTTGGCCGATCAAATCCATTCCCAAAATAAAATCATCTGCTATATCGGCGACTAATGTTCTGTGCCTGACGGTGGTAGATCCAAAAGTGAGCTCAACCATAGCTTCTTCTTGAACTGGTGCAGATTCGCCCGTGACTGTTCGTAGTGACAGGTTTCTAGTGAGCGGTTGGATTGCCCGAGACTTGACTAATGTTCTTCTAATTATGGAAACTTCAGCACCCGTATCAAAAGTGATGGTTTTCAATTCTCCATTAATTTGTCCTTCGAATTTTAATCCTCTATATTGACAGCCCAATGATTTTATGTAAATAACCCTGGGGGCTTCGTCATTACTAACCAGTATCCGCCCCTCCATACTGGTTCCCCGTCTGTTATTAGGGCTGGCGTCTCTTGATCTCGAAAAGCGTTGGAAACGATCCCTTGATGGAGAGGGCATTCTTACTCTACAATCTCGTTGAATGTGACCAACCTTATGGCACCGATACCATTCTAATCGGTTTCTTGGTGTTGGTGTTTGTCTGGAGTCGTTTCCTGTTTTTCTGTCTTCTCGTAATATTTTCTTTATTTCCTCCATGAAACTACTCATAAGGTTTTCGAAACTGCCATCCTCTTTTGATGATTGTTTTTTCTTGGGTCCTCAATGAACACTGCTCGTATTCTGGGTCGTGAGGCACCAAAGATTGCTTCCAGTTCTAATGCTCGGACAAGGGCTTCGCTACTTTGTCTGAACTTAGACATTCTTCGAATCTCTGAGATCATCAATAAACGCAGATACTGCCATCCATTCCTGCATGTCTTCCCCAGCTGCAGTAAACGCCAAACTCACTAGCCTTTTAACTTCCGATTCGAATTTTTGTAGGGTCTCGCCGGGTTTTTGAACTCTTGATTTAACTTGAGTTCTGAATACTTCTTGTCTGTAATGGTCTCCGAAGCGCAATTCTAAAGTTTGACTAAGATGCTGGTAATTCTGTTGATAGATTGAAGGAATGGACTGAAGAAGATCTAAGGATGGTCCTCGTACTGCCACTATCAGTGCTGTAGCTTTTTCTTGATCGTTCCATCCGTTGCTATTTGCAGCAGCTTCAAATTGTCGAATATACATGGTCCAGGACGTAGAACCGTCGAAAGTTGCTGGTTTTATCTTCATACTGGAGAATGCTCCAACACTAGCTGAATTGATGGACTGTATTTCTAAAAAGGCCGCTTGCGCAAATTTAAATTGTACGAATTATCGCAGCGTTAGTGCTGATAAGTCGGCAGACTTATTGAATTGAATTGAACAGAGAACTCAGGTTCTAATCGAAACTTATATATTAGTAAATTGACATGTGATAATTATTGTCGCTTGAGTAATCATTCTTTTGACCACTTGGAACATTTTCTCTTATTAAATTTCCGCTT